AAAAAAAAAAAAAAAAAAAAAAGACAGCACGAAATCTTCTCTTCTCCCTACTAACCTTCAACCCGGTCCGTGAATCCCTGAGCTGCAGAACAAAGCTCTCGTGCCCGAAGATGCTGGGCGGCTGGGTCGGTCGCGCAGCCACCACCTTTCCCTCCTCGAGAACGCTGACTATAGCTCTATGCTTCTCGTATACCTCCGCCGTGCGACCATTGGCGTCGCCCGTGTCGCCCATCATCAACTGCTCTCTCCTGGTCTTATTCATCAGCTCTGACGCTCTCTTCAGCACGCAATTCTCTGCCAAAGCCAAGTAATCATCAACTTCCAAAGAGGATGAGGAGGAATCGTCCCCAGTGAATGTCACGGATGACTCTACCGCTACAACAGCCGTCTTCGACCGACTGTCCGTGGTAATTGTCGTTTTCGTACGGGACAGAGCACCTGGGTGCACAACACCGCAGTGCAACTCATCTGTAGTTGTGCAGAACGACGATTGGCAATCATGATCGAGCTGCGATCCCGACCCCGATCCCGATAACGACGAGGAGGAGGAGGAGGAGGAGGTATTCTGCCCCTCCGTCTTCGCCGCCTGCCCCTCCTCGGACATAGCGCGGTTGGAATCGCGATGATCATCCCGATAACGAGGCCTTCCCTTGCTCGGATCGGGGCCGTCTTCTCCTCCTCCTCCTCCTCCTCGTTCACGAGAATCGTCCAACGACGATTCCGATTCGAAATCGGGATCCCGATCGGAATTCCAGCTCATACCGCGTCGCCTCCTCGAGTTGAGATCCCCATGACGATCACCATCCTCATCCTCATCCTCATCATCCTCATCATCCTCACGCACTCCATGAGAGGAATTAGCGGTTGGAACACTTGCACTTCCCTCCGCAGATGAGTTCCGACGACGGTCTAAAAATAGCTCCCCATTCACCTCCGAACTAGCCGATTCGAGAGGGCAAGAGCTCAAATTCGACTTGTTCAAATTCAGATTCAAATTGTTGCTCTCGATAGCGCTCAGCTTGGCAATGCGCGTCTCGTCATCCTCGGTCGTACCCGCAATCTCCGCCCGCACGGAGGAGGAGGAGGAGGAGGAGGATGGGATGACCTCCGTCTCCGCTTCTATCGCACGGCTGCTCGTACCGACATCATCGGCCAAAGAAGAAGAAGAAGAAGATGTGAAACCTCCATTACCGTTGCCCTCCTCGTCTTCGTCATCCTTGCCCTTCTTCTGTTGTCCATCTGCTCCCACTTCCTCCTTCGGTTCTCTTTCGTCTTCCTGCTCTAACGGTGCCAGTTCCATAGCCGACGCATTACCCGGCCCAGCAGAGGAGGAAGAGAAAATGACAAGATGATTATGATTATGATGAGGATGATCCCCTTGTAGCACGTTGATATCGCCGCCGCCGTCGCCACCGTCGCCGCCGAGATCACGTTCAGATGACGTCAACAGATCGGAAACGACGCACGTGCTCTCAGTTGCTACGATGCTTCCACTCTTCGTCTGCAGCTGCTTCTCGTCGTCCTCCTCCTCATCCTCCCCATCTTTCTCTCCCTCCCTTTCTCCCTCCCTTTCTCCCTCCCCCCTTTTCCTCTCTCTCTCTCTCCCCTCTCCTCCATTCACCCACTGCTCTCTCACACTCTCGTCGTGCACGACTGCTCGGTCCTGCTGCTCCCTCGCTTCCGCTCTATCCTCCTCCCATTGTTCCTTCGTTCCCGCCATAGCCGTATCACCACCGAGGGCAACGAGGGCGCCTTCCATCTTCCTTGCCGCCATCGCTTCTTCTTCGTAGGATTGACACGCGGACGAAGAGGAAGAAGCAGTAGTAGTAGTAGTAGTAGCTGAGGGTGATAAGAACGATTCTGGAGGGTTGCCGCCAGCTCGATGCGCCCGGAGGATGAACAGGCAGAAACGCAGCGCGGAGCACCTCCATGAAGTCAAGGGAAGCAGCGCGGAGCACCTCCATGAAGTCAAGGGTTCAAACTCAAGTCCGAACCCTCCATTTGCTTGCCAGATGGCCTCTCCTTTCCTCCTACTCCTACTCCTCCTACTCCTCCTCCTGTTCCTGCTCCATTCCCGTAGAGCAACTCTGCTCTCTCCTCCACGGTGACCCGTGTTTCCATCGGCAGCGGTCGTTGCTACCGGTAGCGACTCGTGGCAGGCGCCGAGGTCGGCGCCCGTAATGCTGCTCCTGCTGGTGGTCGTCGTGCTGGTCAGACTCTGGTCGTTGGGATCCCATCTGCCGACCACTGGATCTCCGCCGTCCATGGATGATCGCGACTGTGGATCTAAGTCGTCCCGACCGGGACTGTCGCGATCGCCCTCGCCCGCTTGACAATGTGCAACGACCACAAGTGCCCGGGATCTGCTGCTGCTGCTCGCCGAGCGACGACTACCGGTAGGAGGGGCGAGAGAAGGAGACGGAGGGAGAGGAGAAGGAGGAGGAGGAGGAAGAGGAGGAAGAGCAGGAGGAAGAAGAGAACGATCACGAAGGAGGATGCATGATGTTGTAGTAGTAGTAGAAGAACCTGGACATGCCCGTCGTGCAAATGCATCTGAACGCCGCTGAGTCGGAATGGAAGGAGCTGCCGGTCCACGTGGGGACCACCACGTCGACGAGTGGTCCAATGCGCCGCGGCACAGATCTGTCGTCCAACTTCGCCGCTGCCGCACTCCTGCCTGCCGCTTACCTCCTGCTGCCTGACTGCGAATCGCTAAACTCAGCTCGGCGCGCAATGCCGCCGGAGATGGAGCCAGGGGATGGACACTCGACATCATCGCGTCCGCCATCTCCACGGTGACAGCAAGGCTTTGTGGATGTAATGTCTCTCTCCTGTCCGAAGGTGCAACGAAACTTCACTGAAGTTTCACCAGAGTTTCACCTGAAGCTGCAAATCTAGCGCCAGCTAGCCAGTCGCAGTTAAACCTGAACGACAACAGAATTCCAAAAAGCCGAGAACAAGTCAAATTTTCCTTCGGGACATCCGACGTCAAATTTGAAATGGAACAAAACGGAGAAGATCAACACGTCCCCTGCTATGTCGAGTTGTCGTCAACACAAAAATAAACAACACATTTAGCTGTCATCACCCCACCATTTTCGTACATTCCTTTCTCAGTTGCGACATATCTATTTTTGTGTTGACGACAACACGACATACCTTTCGTAATCCATGTCTACATTGTGTGTATATATATTACAATATGTATATATATCGTCAAAATCTAATAACATATATATTGTTATATTATATACAGGGTATCAGTTGTGGGGCAGTCGTTGATGCTTAACCACAGCCGGGGTTAAGGTGGATTATCACTTACAGTGTGTAATCAGTTAGGGGATTCTGCAGAGTCGTGCAGACTGTTGAGGGTTCAGCCTCCTGATGATTGATGAGTCGGTAGGTGAAACTCCGACGAAGCAGTTTGTCACAGCCCCTCGGTTGTTGTCCTCTTCTCCTCTTCTCCCTCTCAGACTGCCTACGGTTTCCGGGGAAACTCTGTTTGACGACATAATATATGATATATTATATATATCGTCACACTATATATATACATATATCGTCACAAACAGAACTGCCCGGTAAACCGTAGGCAGAGAGAGAGAAGAGGCCAACAAACGAGGGGCTGTGGCAAACTGTTACATATATATATACTGTGTGCATTTACATTATACATATATATCGTCAAACAGAGCTACCCGGTAAACCGTAGGCAGAGAGGGAGAAGAGGACATTTATATATGTATAGTTGTCCTCTTCTCCCTCTCTGCCTACGGCTCACCGGAATTATTATCTATACTACGACTATATTTATATTTATATATATCGTCGTTTATTTATTTAAACGCATTACCATAATAATGTGATGATGCGTCGGGAAACTGCAACTCCCCAAAACACCACTTCGACGAAACAGTCTGTCGCAGACCCCAGTTCCTTGTCCTTTTTTTTCTCCCTTTCCGCCTACTGGTCCACCGCGCATCGAGCATCGAGCACAGACACAGAGAGAGAGAGAGAGAGAGAGAGAGAAAGAGAGAGAGAGAGAGAGAGAGAGAGAGAGAGAGAGAGAGAGAGAGAGAAGGCTGGAGAAGAGGGAGCGAAAAGCGCCACATGCACAACATAGAAGAGGCACTGCCAGTTCAGATGAACAAGAAGAAAGGAAGGAATCGACAATCGACAATCGACACCCTGATATTACACATGGGAGAGGAGAACGAGGGCGACGTCCGACTTACCGGATCCTTTGCTTCTGAGCGTTGATGGCTGTCATCGACGGTCAGAAATGATGAAGGCTCTGCGGAACTGTGACCTTTCCCTGGGTAAAAGTAAGGGGAAGGGAGGGGAAGGGAGGGGAGGGGAGGGGAATGCTACAGAGTGGAATAGAAGAGACGACAAGGGATGAGAAGAGAACAGCACAAGAGAACAGCCCAAGGACCCAACCGAAGTGAAAAGACCAGAATGAAAAAGAGAAGAGAGTCCTTCAGGGCATCCGTCAAATTTGGAGCGATACCGAGAGATGGGAAAAAAAGAAAAAGAAAAAAAAAAAGAAGGAAAAAACAAAAAAAGGAAGGAGTAATGGCAGGTAGGTAGGTAGTGTGAGGGGAAATTGAGAGAAGAATACAGCTAAAAAAAAAAAAAAAAAAAAAAAAAAAGAGAGGTCAAGAGAATCCAGCGGCCTAGCTCAATTTGGTTAGGCACACAAGTGGCATTCAAGAGGTCGTTGGTTCGATGTGCATAGTACTGCACAGTGCATACTAAGCTGTGCCTGCGGTAGACTTGGCGGCGTTGGCGCCAACCAGCTGAGATATAGTTTAGATTGATCTCCCTGGGTCTGTATCAGCTAGACAGTGTAGAGACTTCTTTTTTTTTTTTTTTTTTTCAAATCGATTTGTGCGTGTCATCCTTGCGCAGGGCCCATGCAATCTCTACAGACTTCAGCCAACACGGGTGTGAGTGCAAGTGTGCGGGTCTGAGGGGATTGTGTGTGGTGTGTGGGTGGGAGAGTGCTAGCCTTAGAGGGGGTTGTGTGTGGTGTCTGCGTGGGAGAGTGCTACAGTCTTCCCCCGAATACAACGCACGGTCATTATAGCCGAATTTGGTCCATCGTTCAGTCTAAATTCAGCTATAATGACCGTACGTTGTATTCGGGTGAAGACTATAGCCTTAGACAGGGGCCATGCTTCTGGCAAATTGACAATTACTCAATGGGGGTCACCGTGGGGGAAGATGGAAGGGGAGTTACAGTTAGAAACTGCGGCGCACTTAGTGCCAACGGACTGTGATAGTCCTCTGGATACCCCTGATCGGTATTAGCGGGGTCTATGACCAACACGGGTGTGAGTGTGAGCGCGAGTGGGTTGTGTGTGGTGTGTGGGAGCGTGTTGGCCATAGCCTCTGCTGCTACTCGATGAAGGGTGGGGGACAATGAGAAAGGGAGGCACAGCTACTGGCAGGTCTCGGTCTTTGTGTTAGCCAGACCCCCACTGGCGGCCCCAACCCTATACCCTAATCATGAGGGGCAAGGGGCAACATGAAATCTCCCCTTCACAGAGAGAGGAAAAACTATGCTTGCAGGGGTCCCCTCTAGATAGTCTTAGGAGTAGGTAGTGGAAGGCAAAGAAACAGAAGTTGAGAGAAGAATATAGAAAGACAAAAAAAAAAACGAAACTGCCGTTATTTTTTTTATTTTTTTTTCCATGGGGGTGAAAAAAAAAAAAAAAAAAAAAAAAAAAAGGGGGGCCTGGAGCAGCTACTGGCAAATGCTCGGTCCTTGTGTTAGCCGGGGCTAGGTCCCACGTACAGGAATTAAGAGAGATTTTTTTACCGTAGATAGCACAGATCAACGGTCAAAATCTCGTAATCCGTGGAACTGGGACCTTGCCCCCGCCCCAACCCTGCAGCCTAAAACCACTAGTAGGGCAAGGGGCAAAAATGCAATAATTAATACCTCCTTCCACCCTGGGAGCGAGGTAACCTCCCGTCACTAAGAGAGCTACGTCGTCCCCCAAACATAACGCACCCTGAAAAGGAAAGTATACAACGTAAGTTTCCGGCCAGATACAGTCAGAATGAGGGTGCGTTGTGTTCGGGGGAAGACGGTAGATAGCTATGCTTGCAGGGGTCCCCTAGTATACGACTAGAGGCCGGTAGGTAGTCAAGGATGAAATAATTTGAGAGAAGAATATTATAAATTTATAATTATATTATAGTGTAGCTCAAAAACAAAAGGGCGGGAAACTGCTCCGGAGTCACCCTTTTAGTTCGAAATATACGGCGCAGCGAGAGAAGACAAAGTGGCGCCTAATGGATGTGACAGTCATCTTTTGAGTTTCAAAATGTGCAAGCTGAGCGGGGGCTTGAAACTGCGGCCGTTTTCCGTTTTTTTTGAAGTGGCGCCATTGCAGATTTAGGGGCACCATCAAATTTATTATCAAACAATGCATGAGCAGAGGCCAGGGCCCTCACAATTCAACCCGGAGTTATCCCCGCAGCATCAGCCGGTTTAGCTTATGAAGTCCTATTCCTAATTCTAATATCTAGTACCTTTGGCCAAGCTGCTAAAAATTACCTAATGGTTGCTATTTCTTCTCTCAGAACAACTACATACTCAGATACTGTACTATCTCTACAATCACTATTCTACCACTTTCGCTTTTTACGAGACCCGTAGGGACTCGAGGCCAATTTCCGCAAGCCAACACAATCAAGCTCCTAACCTCGGACCTAATGCGGTCCTATTGTGGTCCTAGATGTACTACATCGTACTCCTAACAAGGGAACAATCAACCCCTGACGGCCCGCAGTGAGGGGTCATTCTCTCAATCTCCATTTTCCAGCAACCACGGGGGAAACTGAAAAGCGCCATCAGGTTTGAAGAGGACCAGCTGTGCATTCAAACTCCAAGTTCTAGAGAACCACTCTGGTGACCGGCCATTAGTTTTCCTTCGAGTTCGTCTCCTCCAGTCAGCAATAATGGTATGTCTAATTTCCACCTTCACTTTATTGGTTATGACCTTCAGCGAAAGATGGGAGTTCCTGAACACCTGATCATTACGGGTGGCCCAGATAGCTCCAGAAGCCTCCAAAAATGATTCCTCTGATCACCTGAGCCACATACCCCCAGGCCACCGATGCAGACAGACCCCCTAGTAAGATTCCTCGTAGAACCCAACTTTCATTCCATGGAAAAATCTATTTAGTGATCTGCTTCCACCATTGTTCCCACCAGGTCCATACTCTGCTGGACAGCGGGCATGCGTGCCACAGATGATTTGTGGTTTCCCATGCCCAATTGCACCGGCCGCAGGTGGTAGAGATCTCCATACCTCTGGAATGTAGCCCGAAGCTGTCACCAGCAGCGACTGTAAGGCTAGGATACTGGCTTGTTTCTGAGATGGCAGAACCTTCAGTTGCTTCCAGTATGTCTGCAGATCTTTCCTTGTTATGACTAGTAATGATTGCTCCTCCCTCCTCTTCAGTATTACATCAATCCGTTGCTTCTTACTCTTCTGCCGGAGGAATTCCACTCCTCGTTTGGTGGAATAAATGCTCAGGCCTGTAAACGTTCGGGTCTTTTGATCTGTCCATCCCACTGAGCAGGGGTTCACGACCATATCCAGCAGTGCTTTCCCTTTTGCCACCAGTCTTACTTCTGGATAACTGTCCCTAGCGTCATTTGCATTCCTTTCAGTGGTTACACCTTTAGTTTGGATCTTTGTTACTACCTGAGTGGTGTCCTCTAAGGATAAAACTAGTTTCTTTTCCTTGAAGCACAACAGTCTAGTGAAGGATGTGGTTGTTGTTTCAGTCCACACCTCTGCCGCATACCCTCCGCAAGATTCAGGCCCCAGCAGGTTCCAGTATTCTTGCGGCTGCTGCTGGTTCTGCTAACAGTCTAG